TCATCAGTTTCCATCATGTATTTTTATCTGCCAGTAATTTAGAACTATGAAAAAGCTTTCTTTCCTGTTTGTGTAGCATACCGTTTATATTCTTTCCTCCTGTAGCATGTGGAAAGGACTCCTTGTAACTTCAGTAAGCTATGAGAGAATAAATATCATGATGACCTATAGAGATATAATGTCTTCTGACACATTTGCCTAACACAAATGTAAAGCTGTATAAATTTCAAACCAAGTATAATACATGCTTCCTTTTGTCATGCGTATCTGCTTTGAAATTCTGGATTTTGGTTAGTGAATTATGAAAACAATTGCCTGTTGAAAACAAAAAACCTGTTGCCATCAACTTGAAATGTTGATCATGATCTTCAAAGGCAGTGATAAAATGTGTAGAGCTGCAGTGGAAGAGGAGATGAACACCTCTTGAATACCGCAGGACTGCATGTCCTGTGAAATACAGTATGTAAAACAATTCTTTGATTTGTCAGTGATACCAGATGTAACCTCCCAAGGATCAGTCATTTCACACAGGGATATTATAGCAAAAAAACAACTGTACTTTGTTTTCTCTCTGGATTGTGAGGACACTATCTGTAGAAGTGCAGATACTTCTGTGTATGCAAGAATGCTGCTTATTTTCCATTTCATTTTTTCAGAGACAGAAAAATAACTTTGGGTTTGGTTATTTTGTATGTTGGTTGTGTGGGCTTTTTTAATTACTTAGGTAAAATCTTTGGTAGGGAAAGTTCTAGCTTTACAATTACTTGCTTTTAAATTTTCTCCATAGCAACTGTGAGGCTTCTGTTGCCTTATCCTTTGGTAATCACTGTATCTTGCTTAGAACTAATGAATTACTATGAAGAGTGCTACATTCCTGTTTCTTAATGCTTTCCATCAGCTTCACATGCATTCACCAGAGGTTGAAATAAATGCATTAGAATTAAAATGCATACTGCAACTGGTGGAAATCAAAGTTACCAGCTTTTTACAAATGGGAAAATTGTAGGCTGAATTAGAAAAAATGGTAAATAACTTCTGTGTGTGTGTTGTTATGTGAGACTCAGCCTTCAGCACACTGAAGTAAGATTCTTCTAGAAAGGCAGATCTCAGCTCAAATCCTTTTTGTCTTATGTAATATACAAATATGCCTCTCATTAATTCATTCCATAATGGCCAATTAAGCAGGGGTAGTTGTGGCTCTAGGTAAATGTCTCACATTAATAGTCCCAGCTTCTTTATCCAAGCAGCTAACATATCCCATTAACTGTCTCATTAGGTCTTTTTGCTCATTTGTCACTCCAAAAATGTCATTAACTTCTTAACTCACCCCAAGAAACACATCTGATGTACTGATTTGCAGGTGAAGTTTAGGCATTTTGGTCAGCAAGGCTCTCAGAAGGAATTCCAGTCATTGCGGTGAAGTTTCCTTGTGTGCTGTTCAATGATGGTAGATAATGACAGCATGCTGTAAAAGAACCACAGTGAAAATATGAAAAATATGACTGATACTCAGCAGAGCTTTTTTTTTTTTCCCCAGTGGCTATCTCAACCACTTCATTCAAAATGACCTTTAAAAGTAGCAATTACTGAATCTCAATGCTTGTCCTCCTAACTCAAACCAGCCAAAGTCATTGTATTTCACTTGGTTCTTAGATAAGCAAGGGAAAATGCACTTCTACACTTGTATAAGTGCAAAACACAACCCCATGATTTGTGGAAGATGTGATTGTGGAGTTCTTTACCAGCAAGCTATGCTGTCATTTTTCTTCCCATCACTGTCTTCCCAAAGCAATAAGTCTCATTTGCCCAATTTTTGGATGGTTTTTGAGCTAACAACTTGAACAGGTATTTTTATTAATATACTTCTGCAGTGCAGCTCAGATCTCACAAAGCTACTACTTTATTCCTCTTACTCGAAAAGACAAATAAAACTGTCAGCTATATTTGGCTTTCTTTTGCTGTTTGTTGCTCACTCATTTAATTTCTCAAACTTTTTTTCTCTTTTCCTCATTGCTTCTTATGAGTATCTGTATTTCATTTATGTGCCCATGTTATCCTGTGTAGTTCAGATTACTGTTTCCACTATTTAATGAACTTGATTGTATAACCCATGACAAAATAAAAAAATAATTTATGTTTGTTCATTAGTTGTTACTTCGATTTGTTTTCGTATTTCATTATACATAATTTAGAAAGAAATCTTATTGTCAGTATTAAGGAGATTATTTTATAAATGTAGTTATTGTAGACATCTGATGTAGATGTTTCAGATGCTAATATATGTAACTTGCAAGGAAGCACTGCCATGAACCTTTCTGTATCTGATAAAATGCAGCATACAGAGTGTTTGCCTGACTTTTTAATAGCTAGATGAACATTCTTTTCTTCATTGCTCTTTCTAGAAAATGGAAAATAATATTTTGTTTTCCTTTTGTCCAACTAGTGGTAGCAGCAAAAAAGTCATGGAAAGCTGGTTTGTGATACTTCTGTAGCAACCTCTTCAGTGGTAAAGGTCATCACTGAAAACTGAGCACATCTCAAAATTACAGAAATAGAATAGAATAGAATAGAATAGATCATTTCAGCTGGAAGAGACCTCCAATGGTCATCTAGTCCAGCTACCTTACCAAATGAGGAAATAAACAAATACTTTTGCATAATGATCCAATTCTAAGTGAAATATAAAATCTTACAAACTCAGCCCTGGGAGGATTGTTTGAAAGAGAATTTGTCAATTATTAGGAAAGGAGCTAGAACATATATTCCTTGTTTAATTGCTGTAATATTAAATTAGCAGAGCTTATTTTATACAGAACATACAGGTTCTGTATACATAACAGGAAGTTAACATATGTTGCTAAAAGTAAATGCTTCCTTGTTTTATTAGAAGACCAATTATCTCTGGAGAAGTTCTGCTGGAACATTTAGCTCACTCATGTGGTTGTTACAGATCACAGAGGTTGTAGTGTGTTTACTGCAAGAGTTGGGTGGGGAATTATATACTACAGCCACGTAATGCTGCTCCACAATTCTTTTCTCCTCCTGTATGTTGTAGTTTAAGATATCCTCCTGGATACATATTTCTTGGGAGGTACATTGCTGTGTAGTTTTTGGAATGCATACTTATCCTGCTAATTACTGTTTAGTAATCAAAATTTCAAGGAGGATTCAGTGCCGGTTTATTGCCCTAATTTTTTTCTCATTTATAACATCAAGCAAATACAAGAAAATAGCTAAGCAGATATGCAGTTGTAGGTTTCAGAAATATCCTGAATACAACAAAGAAAACAGAAATCTGATTATTTTTTTTCCTGAACAATAAAATGCTCAATGGGTATCAAGGAGACTATGATATAATAAAATGCATTTATGTTTTCATAAATGCTTGACATGTTTTTAATAATAGGGAACTCCTTCTTAGTTTTATTTATAAATGTTTTAGTTGCAAATGTTAACTGAGAAGATTAAATCTCTTTGGGAAGTCATAGTGAGTGCTACCAAGTCAGCAGATCTGATTCCCTTTTCCCTTATGGTTTGAGTTAAACCAGTTGTTTTTAAAGGTGAGGTTATTAATAAGAGCTCTTCAAGGGCCAGGCTCTGGTCTCATCTCCAATTTTCAATTAAATACCGATGTCATGCTATGCTGGCATTTATTAATTAATTAATTTCCTAGTAATAAATAAGGAAAATGCTGAACAGGAGCTGCCATAATTAGATATTTTAAAATCAGGAGATCGAATACATTCATGTGTTTTTTTGTTGGTTTTGGGGTTTTTTTGAAACTGGTCAAAAGACTTCTGTAAAGTTATTGTTTTCTTCAAAAAATGTTTGAATAAGGCATAAATTCCAGAGGACATGAAGGAAACTGAAGGATGAGAAGGAAAAAAAACTTAGCTGTTATACAGGATAACCTGTAGGTCTGTCAAACTGACATTGGTATAGGAGACAATAATGAAAAAAAGAAATTACGTGGTGAAGAAGGCAACAGCAGCTTATGCTGATTATGGAACATATTAAGGAAATAAACTTGATTATTTTTCAAAATACATTTGTACATTAGTTTGCAAGAGGTGATAATGTTGATGCATATGAATCATACCTATGTAGGGCGTTTCTCTTATGTTTACATGGCATCCTGGTTACTGAATTATAATGACAGAAAGACAGCAAAGTAATCATAAAAGGGATGGAAAAATGATTATGAGACAGAATTCAAAACTGGAAACAGTCACTGAACAGGTTCTGGAAACATACAAGTTCATTTACATACCATCATGAGCCTGCTTGGTGTTTAAAATACCTGGGGAGGGCACTGACGCACCCATATTGCTTTTTATTACACTCAGTTTCATGTTCTCCTGTAGCTACATTTACCTGTCGCAGGTTTTTTTGATTGCAGCAATGGTTTTCATTTAACACCCAGCACAATAATGGCAAGGTAGTGAAGATCTTTAAATTCCTCCTGCAAAACCAGTGAGTCCAAGGCCTTGTTTTCTGTAGTAAAGCTTTTATTAGCACTTGACAAAGAGATTATGCAATCCTCCAGCTCTGGGTGGAATAGCTGGCGTTGGCATGTGAGAGCAGGAGACTGCCAAAAGCCTCTGCATGGTTTGGCACCTACAAAGTGGCTGTCAATTTACTGAGGTTCCTAATCTGACAGTCACTAAAAATAGTTCAGGTGGCTGCTTTCTACTGATGAAGAAATCATGTCCCTCTGCATATTTTTATTTGGAGAGAAAGGAACAATTAGGGAATTGCAGTTTATTTGCTTCCAAGTTTACAGTTAAGAGTATGTCAGAGCATTTGTGTTTATTACACAAGTAGTTTCTTGAAAACTACTGAAACTTCTCAAGGAAAGGAAGACTATACGTTATGGCACCTGTAAATAACGTACATTTTTTGCTTGTGAAATGACATTTATGGCATTACTTTAAAATCACTTCAGTTTAAGCATGGAATTATTTCTGTCTTGATAGTAACTAATGAACTTTTTTTTACAGGCAGCAATCAGCTGAAGACCTTGCAAGAGTACCTGCTAATTCTACCAGCAATATCTTGAACAGACTATTGCTCAGCTATGATCCCAGGATAAGGCCTAATTTCAAAGGTTTGTCAGATATTTCAGCCTTTTTTTATCTTTGGATTTTAAGTTTTACTCTTTTCACACAGAGAAAAATTATGTAGATATTATACTCACAAGCTAAATTTCTGTTGTTGTTGTTGTTTTTAATGGAAGCCTCCCTAGATAGTGTGAAACTGCAGAAGATATTTATCCTTTTGAGCTGAAAGATAATAGGTTAGGATTTCATTATCGTAATAGTATGTGATGCTTTATTACTATTGGTCTTATTTTATAAAAGACTTTTAAAGTGTAGAAATAGAATTTATAGAATAAGTTTTAAAAATATATTTTTTCCCTACATTTTAGTTAGACTCTGCCTTACAGCATTTTAAACCACCAGATTTCTCTATAGACATCCTTTAAGATGACTAAAAAAAGTTGGGGTCAGCAGTATCACTATTAGCAAACTATACAATTATTAAATCCTTTAAATATATTTTAGTTATAAAGCTTACACACTTGAGGAATTCATATAGGTAATGCATTGAAACACATTTTCTGCCATTAAAACATCTCCCTGGTAGTCAGATGTTGCAGGATGCTTCTGTGTAGAGTGTGTGAATCCTTACACGAGAAGAAAAAGTTGAAATACATGTTCTCTGCAAAACCTCTAAGAATTCACACAAGTTGGGCTGTAAATTAGACTTTTCAGGAATTAGATTATTTACCTTCTGTAAATAATGTACCACTAAAAAGATGTAGACAATTTTATTACATATAAATAAAGCAGTTTACATAAAACAGCTCTTTCATTTAAAACTCCTCATATAATTATATGAGCATTAAGAGATATTTTAGCATGAATATCACTAGTATGAAAAATTTGGAAATCTTAAATGTTTATTGTGCTTTGGAAGAGGCTATTTTCAGTTCTGTTTAACAGTTTTATAAACCTATTAAGTTCAGTTCTCAGTAAGTGTACTGCTTCTTTCTTATTCACTGTAGAACCATATTTATATGTTTTCAGCACTGTCTTGTCACAAAGAATAAATGTCCAGCCTCCTCTCTACCTGTTCTTCAGCATAATCAGCTTGTAATCACAAAGCATGGTGCAGATTTCTTTATATTTTTGATAACCCTTCTGGCAGTCTGGTAAGAATCAAGACAGAAGGGAAAGGGAGGACATGTAATGTTAACTCAGAGGAAGGTGGAAGAAAAAGAACATTTTCTGACAAGTGGTTTGCCCATGTTAAAATGTTCCTCACGCATGAGTGATTTTCTTGGATGGCACATCCTATTCAAATCTGGAAGAGAGAATACACTCTTGGCTACTAGTGATGTGATGAGTGCTCTGTCACATGCGTCAGGCATTAAAATAAGTACTGTGCTTATTGCATAACAAAAGCATAATACTTAAGTAGTCTGATTAAAAAACCAAACCAAACAAATTGGTTTAACTGAAAAAGTGAAATTTTATCTTCATAAATTTCTGGTGACCAAAAGAATTAGTTTGATTTTTTTGTATTAAAGCTGCATAAAATATTTTATGCAGACAAACATGCTATTGGAAGAAACATATATTACTTTGTACTGTATTTGCTTAGTCTGTCAAAACTATTCTTATATTCTTGTAGCTCTTTTGTTGCTGAAATTAGGAAGAGTATTTGTAACTGTGTAAATGATATACCTGCAACTAGTGGACATCCTGACACTCACACCATAGAGGTACTAAATAAAAGTAGTGGTCCATAATTAGTTCTCTCAACTATCAGGTCACTTCTCCTTGCTCTGTGATAACTCTCTGTTAACACCAGATTAAATTACTGCCAATCAGTTCCCACAGGGTGACAGAGGGCAGATGTAGCAGCTGTCATACCATCCCTCTTCAGCTACAGGAATCCTGGCTGTGGAAAAGAGAAAAAAATCCAGGCCATCTTAGTATCTTCACAGCTCTGACTTCTAGAAATTTTTCCTGGCTAATTGGTAACCATTGTAAAATGGAGCAGCTTTCCAACTCCTTCATACGAAGGCTAGATAGCTGTGAAAAATGCATGCAATAATTTTTACCTGCCTGTATTCATATTTTACAGACAGGTAAAGGCTTATGTACTTTAGTTGCACAAGAAAATATCTTCTTAAAGCATAAGGAAATATCTCATCATAAATCATAAACAGGTAATTTGGGATGATAGTGTGTCATTATGACCTTGACAGTTAAAAGTGGCTGCTGCTAGAAATATGAATTGCTTCTATCCATTACACTGTGTGCAAAAGTAATACTGGCTTATGCATTCTGAGATAAAAGAATATCATGAAATTCAGTCACTATTAAGTTAGACATATGGTCAGTGGAATTCTGTAAGATTAGTTCTCTGGACTAAGGATTTTTATTTTTCCCTTTTTTTATCACTAGGTTAAAAAGTGGTTTAGTGATTTCTATTGACTTTGATAACTGTATATATACTAACTTAAAGTTACATTGTGACATTATGATACTGGTGTAAAGGAGCTTTAAATGAACAATAATGTACCTTTACTGGATTGTGTAGCTCACTAGAATTCTTTTTTTTAAAAGGAATTCCAGTTGACGTTGCAGTTAACATCTTCATTAACAGCTTTGGATCAATTCAAGAGACAACTATGGTAAGAGTGAAATTAAATTCATGTAGTGCACATGGAGATTTCCTTCCTAAATCAAACTTCAGGCTGAGGATTATGAACTATAAAACAGAAATATTTTAGATCTAAACCTATTAATGTATGTCACTCTATATGTGTCCACAGATTGTTGTAGCTTTAGAATCTGATTTACATGAAAGGAAATCCATGGTTTCTAAGATGCAAGAGCTAGACTAATTTCCATAGGTTATTAAGTTCATTGGAAGAACCCATTTGACAGTATGAGTTGAAGATCTTCATGAGAGTTGTTACATAGTTTGCTTGGTGTGTTATTCAAAAAAAACCCAAACCACTAAGACTGTATATGAGAGAAAAAGAACAGACATGCATAAGGATGAAATGTATAGATTTTTTATTTGATGTGGATCTGAAGATGTAAATAAATTGTGATGGAATACAAGGAACTGTAGTAAGTGACATTAAAACAAAAAAATGTAAGTTTGCCCAAAAGGCCACAAGATTTATTTGTGAAAACAAAAAGAGGACTCAAATTTAAAGAGGGGCAGGGAGGAAGAGCAGGAAAGTAGGACCAAGATAAGTGTCTTAAGATATGAAGTATATTGGGCCAGATGGCCCTTTCAAGTTTCTGAAGTTAGTTGCATGCTTTAAAAAGTGACTTTTAAAGAGGATTTTCTACAATTCACCCAGATTCATATAGTTACAAAACATGAATGTGAGAGATTTGCTTCCCCCAGCCCCTCCGAAAAAAAAAGAACTATGCTCTCCACAGCCATGTATGTATGCCTGTCTGTGCCGTCCTGATACGGTCACTCACAAATTTACTAGAAGATGTGCTGTATGATGAGTCATGCTCTCCTTTGTAATTCTATCTGACTATCAGACAGCTTCTTTACTTTATGTTATGCTTTCATTTAAATTTCTTTGTCTAGCTGATCACCATGATAGCTAAGCATATTTATGTCAAATTTGGATAACTTTATGATTGCCTTAATCTAGTACAGGAAGCACTGACAAAATTAACAGTCAATCTGTTGCTCCATGTATTATTTAGAAAACTCTTCCTGCTGCAGTGGGCATTGGATATTCAGGAATCATTTCTCTCTTGGGGATAGGTTTGTACTTGTCTTCAAATGGTCTGGGTAATACACCGGACAGTAGAAATGGATTGCTTAGAATAGGAAAGACTTGTGCTTCTGGAATCACAGGAAAAGTATTTCCTGGAGGTGAGGCACCAAGTCTGTGAAGGATCAGAGGGGTCTCTTGTGTTCAGAAAGGAGACATTTGCAGAAGCACCAGAACTCCTGAAAAGGTTCCTTGGTGTTGGAGAAGAGAGTGGCTGGCTACATCTCTACTGTCTCTGGCACTGGTGAGAATCATGTGGAGTATTGGATTTATAGACTGTCTCTAAAATTACCAGAAGCTACTAAACTGGTTGGAGTGTTTTCAAAATTTTGAAATAATGTATTTCTAAGTTTTTAAGTCAATGAATTATTGTGATGATGCTTTGCTCTCTAGCCACTGCTGGCTATAATAATTGAACTCATAAATTTTTGCAAAATCTGTGTGGGTAAAGCCATGCTAAAGCAATTATTCCTTCTTTTGTGTGATGGAAGTGTGGGAAAAAATAACGATGGGTACCAGATGACTGGAAGACACGTTATGGTCGAAGGCCCAACAAACAAATATGTAGAGTGACAGTGAGAGAAGGCCTTGCTTGCTGTCCTTCTGGTCCTGTGATAATCATGTTCTTAGCTATGCAGTTGGCTCATCCTCAACAAAGAGTTAAGATTAGCTCCTTGTGAGGTATAGTCCACTTAGATTTAAGAAAGGAGGGGATTTCTTTATAGAAAATCATTGAAGTTACTTTGTTTTAAAGCAAGAGAATACCCATTTTGCAGGTCCTATGCCCAGAATCCTGTATCACTTTACTGAAGCCTTTGTGAAGAATCTGAAGGGCAAATGTTTGCTCTGTGTTTAGAAAGGATAGTGTTCATGTTGTGTTGTTCAATATTGAAGAGAATTGCAGTGCTTCCACACACTTATTAACTAAGTCTCCTGGAAAAAACTAAGCAAAAGAACTAGTGAACTACAGAGAGAATCAGAATTTGTGCAGATAAAAAGGAGAAGAGCAAATGCCAGAGCTGCTACATTCCAGTAAGCTCCCTTTATCTTGAATCCTGTAACTTGTTCCTTCTCTATCGTTAGACTACTTGTCAAGGATCCCATGTTAACTCTGCTTCTGAGTTTGCACACATATTTTCAGACTGCAGATTTGTGGTATAATATGGTGATTATATCACATTTATAAACAGTTTTAAACTGGGTGACCAGTCAAGGATTCCTAGGGATAGAGAGTTTCTAGTATAAATACCCGTAGGGCTATAATATTTTTTTCTGCGATGATGATCTGACTTTCTGTCTACAAAATCTATCTTCAAGGTTTTTGCTTGCAGTGTGACCTTTCTTCACTGACTCAAGCAACAAAACACCAGTTCTTCCTTCTCCTTTACTTTAAAATCTTATAGAAAGGTCTTTTTAATATTCATGACTATAAAAACCATTCAGTTTCCATATTTTAATTTTAAAAATGACATTTTCTACTTCATTAAAAGGAAGCACTATTATGTTGCCTTTCTTTGTATGAGTACAGTTTATGTAGTTAGTCTTTCATGATCTTCTATGTGCTCTGTTTTGCAGAGATATGTGTAGGCTGTGCTTGCTTTCTGGCCTGAGGTGGTTTTCTGGCCACATGCCCACTATTTAGTAGACTTCTGAAATATTTCCTAGAATGCCTCCCAACCTCCCTGAAAACTACTTGCCTTCTGTTGGAGTTACATGGGAAAACAAAGCCTTGTAGAATACTTCTGCTTCTGTATTTCCTTCTACCTGACAGGTCCTCCTAGCTCTGATGCTGATGAATGTCTCTTCCATCCTCTTCCCCTAGTTTCAGGCTTTTTAGTTGCTATTTGACTCTCCTTTACTATAAAATGCCAATCATTCTGGAAATTAAAAAAAGCATATATAAAATGTACATGGTCTTCCTGGATATATAAAATGCAGGAAGACCATGTGCTCCATGCAGACTGCTTCTTCAGCCCCTGTTCAACCTAATTCGAATACACTTACTGAATCTTAAAATTCATTGTTCAAATTTGAGAGGACTGGTTACAGACTTCTTTCAAGATCAATTTATACCAGATCATAGTCTTTACTGCTGCCAGATGCTGTAAGGATGCATGCTCTTCTAAGAAGCTGCCCTTTTGCACATTATCTGCTGGCTAGCCACAGATTTGTATCGTGACATCTCTTTGCTTCTTTTTACATTCTCTGTATTGTCTCAAGTATGTGGTGGCCTTCCTCTCCAAGTATCCCTGTCAATATCTCTGCTTTGGGCCTGAACCTCCCATTTTAGATTAGTGGGATTCTTCATTCTCTGAGTTAAATAGAAACAGACTAAAGTTCTTAAAATGTCAAAACATCTGATAGTTTGGTGTTTAAGTTCATTTGTAATAAAGAAAGGAAGGAAACAAAATAGCATCCACCTGATGTTACTTCCAATTCTTATTTTGCCAGTGCATTCTGCTTTTCAGTGATGTAAGCATCTCCTTCTACTGAATGGGTAAGCTGAAGGCAAGTGTTTAAAAGTGCTTATCATTTGCCTATGGCTTTGAGAAGGCATCTTATTTTGTTTAAAATTAGGGTAATGCACTTGTTTATGGGGAAATTGAATTCAGTGTAACCAATAGTGTAATGCTTGTGAGCATGAATGGTATGCAGTATTTATCTCATATGATTTTGACTATTTTTTTCACTGAGATAAGAAGTGCACATGGGAATGGGAACTTCAGCAAGAATCAAGTAAAATAAATTTTCAATTATATACATATAATTGAAAAGATGCTTTCTGAAATAATGGCCTGAATTCCCTCCAATTATGAAGCTTCTCTATGAGAGCCTTCCCGTACAAATTCACTTCATATTAACCATTTTTTTTTTGCTTCTTCTTTTCTTTGGCAAGACAACATAGGTCTTTGTATAAATAAGAGTCAGACTATGTATATCTTCAAAAATCAACTACCAACAAGTAACAAGTACTTAGTTTTGATGCTTTGCTTTTCCTTACAATGCAGTAAGGAAAAATATTACACAGTATAGTGTAATAAAGAAATACTTGGGCTAATTTGGCTGGTGGACTGGACATGGGAAAGTGGGCACTCTATTTAAATATACAGAGCAAATCAACAGACTAAATTATTCTGCATGAGGTCTTAGCCAAGTGGACTCCTTGTGGGAGAAGTTAGGATGACTGTCTCAACATGGCACCTGCTTTGGACTGCAAATGTAGTAAGTACAGCAGAAGATAATTCAGTTGTATCAACAAAAAAAATGTGTAAGAGTCATTGACATGGAGAATAAAAAATTTTACAAAATTTGTTTTTATGCAGATATTGACAAACGAAAACTATGGCGAGAACCTTCACTACTACATTTCTAGTATTTTGCTCTAATTGTAGAGCAGTAGCAGTGTTTTCACTGCTCTGAAAGACACAACCCTTTTCTCAGGAGGCTTTGTACCTAGTAGACAATTATGAAAAAACAAAGCACTCTACAGAAGACAACTAGGAAGACTGGAGATAGAAACAATCTTACATACAGAATTTTCATTCATTTGTTTGGGTTTGTTTAACTTTTTTTCAACAATAAATTTATTCTTTCTCTGTATGTGATCTGCCTAGTTTACATATACATCAAAAAGAGGCACTGGGTTAAATGTAAATGTAAAAAACAAAATGACTTAAGAGATAAGACTGAAAAATCCTAGCTGACATTCTAGGTCAGATTCTTCCTTCGGATGCCCACAGCTTTCGCTAAGCACAGAACACGTGCAGGGTATCATTTTGCCCTGAGACACGTGCTACTCCGATTCCCAAAAGCAAAATTAGGTTCTCACTGAGCACAGCCCCACTACTGTCCTTCCTTCAGCCAGAGTCCTACTGATTTCAGAAGGAGATTTCCTCTGTAAAGCCTTGGTTTTGTCTCTTTGAGACTGATTCTGTTTCTCCTTTCATACCTGCTACCTCAGTACTTATGTTGCAAGCTGGCATCAGGTTTCCTGTTACCAAGATAGTCCCAGATCACTGATAGAAGGACTGAGGCTGTATTCTGGGTGTGTAGTATGAAATCTATTACCTACCTGGTCTGTTTCCTGCTTTTATAGTGTGAAATGTGATATTTTACCATCAGTGTGCCACAACCAAATGAAGAGTAAACTGGAATTGGCACTCACAGCATATCCTGAAAGAAGTGATATCATGCCTGCTGCCTGCAGCCCTTTAGTGTCAAGATATAGTCAAGCTGCGGCCTCTCTCTGCCCTGCTGCATGCTTTTCTCTGTGCCTGGGTAACAGGAGCTTTTACTGAGGGGATGCAAAAATTACTCTGGAGTGGTAATTTGATCCTTTGTTTAAGGAAAGTTGCTGTATTCAAAACCATGAGTGAGATGTAATCTGTTTGTAGTAAAGTCTGTTGAACATAATACTTTGTAATGTGATTTGAATAGTGATTACTGTCTTTGTGATAGAAAAATCAGGGCATAATTTTTTTCTCTTCCAAGTCTGATGGAATTGTTTTATTTCTCTGTGGTGTTTTTGCTAGACTTTTGGCTAGTCTAATCTTCGTTTATTCTTCCAATCAGGATTATAGAGTCAACATCTTTCTAAGACAGAAGTGGAATGACCCCAGACTCAAACTGCCCAATGACTGGAGAGGTTCAGATACACTGACAGTGGATCCAACTATGTTTAAATGTCTTTGGAAGCCAGACTTATTCTTTGCAAATGAAAAAAATGCTAACTTCCATGATGTCACACAAGAAAATATCCTCCTTTTTATATTTCGGGATGGAGATGTCCTAGTCAGCATGAGGTATTTTATTTATTTGTTTCCACTGTTTTTTTAAAGTGATTTTATATGAAATATATATCCTGTATTAGCCTTAGTAATGTAATACAACTTATTACTAACATTTAAATTTATATTAGACAGTTTCTAAACAACGCTGGAAGAAATTATGCGTAAAGAAATCAGATGATAGCACTGCAAGTGTGAGAAATTTGAAGTGTATTTGAAGTGTTAAGCTGAGCTGAGCTAACTGAATTTAAACCCTTTTGATAATTTCTTAGGTTCCTAGAAGCACAGTGGAGTGGATAATATATCTGAAATACAGCCTTCAGTAAAACAGTATATGTTGCACACTACTTGAGTTTTTACAGCAACTAAAGTAAACAATGATTACTTGCTGAAGAAACAAGGAAAGGCATAAATAACAAAATTTGTGAAGATGTATGTTTTGTAAAAGTACTGTGAAAAAATCCTGATTAAGTTTTACACTTTACTGGATATAATTGTTTTCAGAAGCCTCCAAATTTCTGTTCAATTTAATTGCAATTGTCATATCCTTTTTTGGTGGTTTGACTTAGTTTATCAAATGTATACACAATGCCGTAAAAATAGTTATCCACTTAAACCAGAAAATTAATTGATTAAAAAGAAGGTAATAGTGAATTGCAGACATGGAGAGTTTATAGTTTCTAGTTTTCAGAGATTAGGCTAAATTTTCTAACAGGAAGTGCATTTTCTTCTGGTGTGTTGTGTAACATATTGCCCTGATAGACAAAAATGATTATCTAAACATACTGCAACTTTACCTTTAATCATTTTTTATCATCTAAAGATAATAAAAAATAATAAATAAAATAATAAAAAATGATAAAGATATCTAAAGATAATCAAAAGAAGTGAGGTTTACATGAGCTATTTCTTCCTGGAGTAGAAATAGATAGAAAAAAGGAGAAACAATATTAAAGAGCTGGGGTTCTTTTTCTCCCATTTCAAAAGAGGATGAGAAAAATCAGTTTCAAGATCATTGCAGTGATCAGAAAAGAAAATACATTGGGCAATCAAAGCATTTCATTTGGCTTGCTCTGAAGATCTTGGTTCTGATTTCAGCTGCTTCTGTAGTTTTGAAGTGTGTAGAAATTAATATTTCAAAGTAGAAAATAGCTTCCAGTTATGAAAGAAGTTTCCCATTTGAAAGAGTGAATGTTAAATGAAACACTGAAATATTTTCTAAATATTTTTTCTGTTTTGCAGGTGTTTATAAATGAGTGTTAATGATTAGTGAATGTTGAGTGAATACTAATGGAAGTGTTTCTGACAGAAAAATTATTCTCTGAAAACTTGCAGATAAGAAAACCAGTTTCAATAAAGTTAGAAATTATTGTCATTCTCTAAAAATACTCTGTTCATTTTAGTAGCACACTATGTTCTTACATTATATGTATGCAGGTAAGATACATATAATTTTTTAGGGTCTGTTTTTTGGTGACATTTTTAAAAGACGTAATTTCTATGTCTTGTGTTTCTAGTTTGCAGAGATATTATCACGTATAAATGAAAGAATCTCCAGTTATCAATATACCTTCATGGCAAAATATGTATGAGAGAAAGCTCTTGCACAAATAGTTAAGAATTAAGAAACTGAATGCAGGAATAAACATCTGCTCACATCAGGGGAAGTAAACAGTAGATTCCCACAAAAATATCTATTTTGTGTTCTGTGCTTTTCAGCATAAATCATCTGAAAAACTGAATTTGCAAGTGCATTTGATGATACCAAAATATGCAGAACAGTAAAGATAAGAGACAACAGTGAGAACCACAAATCAATCTAGTGACTAGGTAGCAAAGTATGGGATGAAATTCAGTGTAAACAAGTGGAAATTATGCATGAGGGAAAAAAATTATTTTAACTTCACATAAAGCCTGATTTATCTAGAGTTGGTTATTACCAGCCAAAAAAATTAGCTTTGAGTAGTAATGGATAGTTCTCTGAAAATACCAGCTAATAGCTCAGTACTATTTGTGAAAGTGAATTGAATTCTTGGAAGTATAAGGGATTAAAGCTATGCCAGTGCATAAAAGTATGCTATACTTATATTTTGAATGCAATTCTGGTCTTCTAGCTTTAGGAAGGGAGGCAAGGACAGTCAAAGGTACAGAACAGCTGAGCAAGGCTGAACTTTTCACACTGGAAAAAGCAAAATAATGGAGGTGGTGCTGTAAAGGTCTCTAAATTACAAATGGCACATTTGTAGTGGACATTGATTTTTTTGCCTTCTTTTACAGTGGAAGAACTATAAGACAGACTGAGGATAGGTAAAAATGTATGATTAGAGTGTGTGCAGCTTAGCTATGGCATTCTTTGCTGCAAGATGCTGTGCATATTAAATTTTATATGGTGTCAGGGTTTAACCCCAGCTGGGAACTAAATACCATTTGCTCGCTTCCTCCTGGCCTCAGTGGGACAGGGGAGAGAAGCAGGAAAATAAAGGACATAGAAGGGGTCAAGAACCCCTTAAAAATGCAGCAAATTAGAACAAAATAAAAGTATTTATGCTGATACTAATTGTAATAAGAGGTTGCTCACTACCTGCTGCCTCTCATCTCCTTGTGTCCCTGCTGACTGGCAGAGTGTAGGAAACTGAAAAGTCCTTGATTTCGGGTAAGCACTACTCAGCAACAACCAGAAACATCAGTGTGTTATCCACGTTACCATCATACTGAATCCAGAGCACAGCACTGTGCCAGCTACTAGGGAAAAAAACTAACTGTCCCAGGTGAAACCAGAACACCTAGATTCCAGAAAGCAACTGAAAGGAAAACAACTTATTGGAGACAAAAAATCTGTTGATGTCCCTTAAATACTCACAAATCCCTTCTGGTTTGGGAAGCCCTTGAGGTGTAACTTTTGGATGCTGCTGGATATCTGGCAAAATAACACTTCCAGATTGCTGTAGTGTCATATTCTTCTTTAGAAGTCTGTCATTGCCCAGTGCTGGAGGCAGGACTCTGTTCTATATGGGCATTTGTTTTGGTTATTCTATGACCTATATGTATTTTGTCTTGTATTGGTAGTTCTCTAATTTGTGAGGTTCTATATGTTTAAAACCCTCTATAAAATTGTATTGTCTTATTTTATACTAGAGAGGTCTCCATAGCAAACTGCTAATTATAACTTCTAAACTTTGTTTCTGCTCTTTTAGAAGACGAAAATCATAAACCTGTGATTTTTTTTCTTTCTCATGGCCATCTACTGCTTACCTGACAGCTCGCGCCATTTCTAAATACCATTTCTGTATTTTCAGATTGTCTATTACACTGTCATGCCCTTTGGACTTGACCTTGTTTCCTATGGATACACAGCGCTGCAAGATGCAATTGGAAAGCTGTATGTAAATCACTCTGTCCATAAAAACAGTTCTCTTCTAGGCATGCATGAGAATCAAACAAAAATTATTAATTCTGTTTACTTCATCTCAACATTTTTAATGAATCATTAAATTGATACTCACTGGCTCCTACCAATGTACATTTCCCTATCAGAGATGCTTCTTACTGGTATGGCGCTGTGCACTCTTAGTTTTAGCTTTTGCTATCAACCAGAATGATAACTGGCACCTTTTGTAAAAGCATTTACAATAAACTCAGATAAATGGAAACATATTATTTGCAAAAAAGAATGGTTTTGCCAGGTGGTTTTAACTTCCCCAACCTGTGCTGCTTTGTAGGTTTTTGGGGCCCAATTTATCCCCCTGCATTGATGATACATTGGTATTGTTTGGAACTCCTTTGATACATTACCAAAGGAAAATCATTTTATGCCAAAGCAGTGAGATCATTTAGTATCAAACCTTTTGAAAGTGGTTTCAGGATGTTTTGTGGATGTAGTCAGGCATCTATTCCTGGTCTCCAGGTGACTTAATCTTACAACAGGGCAGACAGGTCACATCTCTGAAGGGTTTCGTGCCATGCTGGAAGTTGCTGACAAAATGTTTCTGAAATCCATCTTCCTTTCCGTGCTCCAAATACGCAGGTGTCTACTCAACTACAGCTTTTTCCAACAGTTTAATCCTTGGTGATCCCACTCTCATGGTAATTCTGTTTTCCTGAGTAAGGATGAGCGTGAATCAGAGAGAAGGAAGGTGACCTGTTCTAGTCTGCTCCTGCTGTAACATATAAACTCGTTCAGCTCTTACTCCAGCAGGTCTGGTGGGAAAGGTGAGGCTAGGGAAAGGAAGTCAAAAGTGAAGAAAAAGTAAGCTTAGCCAGAGCTGGGCAGAGTATCACAATATGGACAGGGCAAATAATAATAATAATAATAATAATAATAATAATAATAATAATAATAATAGAGTTTTACAATTTAGGTTTTGATTTTCAGCATCTATCTTTAGAATTTTATTTCATCACTACTATGTATGTACATTAGCTGAAGTAAACTCTTATGGAAAACCAAATCAGTTTGAGGTTAAACTGGAATTAGTAATACTAATATAAGTTCACTTAAGTTTTCTCAGTCCAGCAAGTCCACTTACTTTACAAGTGTTGAAAGGTATAGTCATGCAAGGAGAAACTACTAGTTAAAAAAATCATGCTAAGATGATATACTCAAATGCAGGGAATTTGCTTCTTTGGAGACTGTGCACTAAACTTTCATCTACCTTTTAATTCAGTTATCAAAATTTAGAAAGGTACCTATGACTTCCTATCTGTCCTTCCAGTTCTTTCCCTGCTAGCCATTGGCAGTTTTATTCTTAGGTTATTTTCAAATCAGTATTTTGTTTTTACTTGCTAAATTTCAAAATCAAAAAAGGCCATCTGTTGTTACTAAGATGTTCTCATATCCACAGTTATAATCCCCAGTTCTGCATGTTCTCTGTAGACACAATTTTCACTCTCCAGTAATTGTTATCATAAAGGATCTTGGCAGTTTTGTGATATGCTGTGTGTTGGAACGGGTGAAAATGATTTTATGAATGAAACATTAAAACAATATTTTTATAGCGTATTATATTATGAAGCTTTGAAACATTGTGATTTTTATTAAATTATTGTGAATCATAAATACATTTATGAACAGTTTCACTTTCTTAATCACAGCTGTTTTTCAAAAATTAAAAAGAATAATCTAATGCCTCCAGAAAAAGAATGGCTCTTTAAACATTTTTCTCAGGCTTTGAACTGCAAAATGATGCATTCCAACTCCATCTTTTTTATGTTTCCTCATCTGTGTTTCCATCTAACACACATTATCTCTGTTTGAATTAAGTTAATCTTTAATGAACAGAAGGTAGCAAAAAAATGGCTTGTAAACCATGATTCTGATTATGCATATTTAATCAATATTGTTTTATTCTTGAATATTGTGAGTCTAACTTGCACTGCCTCTCACTTGGTGGTGGTGTATGTATTATGATTTGGGCACTCAGAGGTTTGCTGAGGTCTGTCTGTACTCAGTGGGTCAGGAAGGCACTGAGCTGATTTCTGTAGGATTGCACATCTGCCCTAATTCCTGGGCAAGTATTTCCTGAATGGCAATGCTGCCATGAGTCTGGGCTTTTAGTCCAAGAAAATAAGCAGCGTGGTTGTTTTACACAAACACCAAGATTTATCACAGTAATTGAGCTGTTAAATTCTTTTGAAGTTACTCAGATTCATAAATACTGTTTAAAATTCATCTTTTTCATATTTTGCTGAAATGGAGTATGAATGAATATGGAGGCTTGAAAGCTGTGGAAAATACAGCTTTGCTTTCTTTGTGTGAAAAGTACACCCTGTAACAAATACCTCTTAGTCATCCTAATATTGCTGATAATGTAATGTTTCACCCACTAAGTCCCAACTTCGGCCCACATAAAAATGCAGCTGTGGATTATTTTTGTATTTATTTATTTGAACAGGAAATAAAAAGAAAAAGACTGAAAGAGATACAATACATATATGCTAGGTTTACTTGCAGAATTTGCTGTGATTGAGGTGGATCTTTAAACAATTATTATTATTATTATTGTTTTGTCTTGCAGTTGGTTACACAACTGATGATTTACGGTTTATCTGGCAGTCTGGAGATCCTGTACAGCTAGAGAAAATTGCTCTGCCTCAGTTTGATATTAAAAAGGAGGATATTGAATATGGTAACTGTACCAAGTATTACAAAGGCACAGGTAGGTAATATAAGTTATTGCCTTGGTGAAAAACTCTAAGCTTCCTTCAGTTACTGTTTAGAGTTAATGGTTAATATTCCAGTCCACATCTTACATTTCCTGGGATAAAACAGATTACCTTTAACTAATGAGTGGTTCATATAATGGTAAGTTTAATATGTGATAAAAACAAACTAGTTCAAATATAGAAATATCCAAGTTGAAGAAGAGATTAAATGTTTGTCTTGGCTTTGCTTACAAATATCATGATCTTATTAACACCATTTTATTTCTATGGTCCTAATACCTGTTTTTGATTGTAAATGTCAAACTTTTCTGAAAGGATGTTCGTACAGAATCATGCCAGTTGCAGCAAAGTGGGTAAATTTTGATTTTCTGGTTAGACTTCTGCTCCATAAGTGGATAGTACTAGACTGTAATTCCAAATGCTTCATCCTGCAGCTTCTTCCTTTCTCTAAATGTTCTGGAAATTCCGTCATTTTTGAAAGCTGCTTGCAATCCTCAGCCCTCTATTTGTTTATTCCTATGACTATTTTTTTTTTAGTGTTGGCACAAAATTTTCCAATGGTTTATGCACTCTGGTTTTTAGTGATTTACCTTTTTCACTTTGATTGATTCCTGCCTATGATAATATCCAAACTACTCATTCTGTGACAACCACAAGACTTTCTACAAGAGCAGCTGTAGTTTAGTCAGTGCTTTTACATCATGGGCATAAATCTTCCATTAAAACTCAGCTGGGAAGTCTGTGGTGCTGCAGCTTCTGAGGACCCTCTGCAAGTTTCTTGTTACCTGTTCAGCTGGAGTGGAGGCTCTGTTACTTGCAGTTGCTCCTGTGGTAGATTCCAAGCCTGGAGAGATCTCAAGGAACATTAGCAGATCTCAGAGTTAAGAATTTAATTTGAAAAGATAATGGAAATAAAAGTGGGCTTTGGTTTTTAACTGCAAAATGAGTGAGATCTAAGAACATAATTCATCCTCTCAGGTGATTTATAATTTGTAAATAATAAGAGATTAGCTCTCTTCAGGAAAATTCTGATTTTTTGAAAGTATATCCAGCAGCTAGCAGTGATGGCATTCAGGATATGGCAAAACCTTATTTAGCAGTGAGAAAAAGATTTTGTTCCTATTTAAAAAATGAAATTACTGAAAAAAATAGCCCTTAAAGTAGTGAAAAACTAAAGGAATGGATTTTGCATTTTCCAAATGAAATTCATACAAATGGGAAAATTGTAAAACATATTCTATTGTGATTATTTTGAGGTGTGCCCTAAATCTGAAATTAAATATCTAAAAAACTTTAGATAGGAACCCTAAGTTTTTAGGAACCTTAAAGAAAAATATTTAAGAATTATACACAAAGAAAATCAGTGGTGTTCTCTCAAGTTTCAGCAACTTGTGACCACAAATGACATGGTGCAAAATGTTCAGTAAAATATTCACATTCTCTGTGTGTGTGCTTTGAGCATTAAAGAAAGAACATGAGAGAACCATTTTGAAAAGTTTTCACAGTTCTTTTACTGCAAATCCATTCTGTTTAGAATCTCCACTTTATCTCATAACCAAACCCAGAATTAATATTTCATTAATGTGAGTTGAATATTTAGTATGTTGAAATATTTTAAAGGCTGTTTTCAATGCCCCATTTTTTTATTTACTTGAAGATTCTTATGCTGAAGGTATTTTTTAACAGCAGATTTCACACACAGAGATAAATAATTTTGTCAGATAATCAAGAGAAATTTTGCATCAAGGAGCAGACTTCCAAAATTATGGCTTATGTAGGAATTCCCTGACAATTGCAAAAATCCTTAATCTTTACTGCCTATTTCTGTCAACGGATGTTTTATCATACCTACCTAAGTTAAAAGAGGGTCAGCAAATCTGGGCTGCTTTTGTAGCAATACATTGAATATTTATATTTGCAAATTTCCTGTTATTCATCAATTTTATGACAGATTAAATAGGTCCTTTTGAGCTGAATGATGAGGGCAATAGATTCTATTCTCTGTCTGATGAAATATTATTCAAATGAAGGCATACAGAATGCATTTCCTACATAACACAAACAAATAATAATTTTGAAGGTCATCTCTCATTTGAAAACAAAACCTAAAAGAGTCTGGAATCCATTCATAAATTATAGAGGGAAAATTTTTCAGCCAGCTGATCACTGGAGATGATAGAATGAGCTATAAAATACGGTATAGTGTCTTCTACACAAGGGTGTTTGTCCTTAATGTTTTATACTTTTGTTGTTGTGGTGTTTATATGCCCTAACAGCAGTTTTACAATGATGTATCATTATACAGCACTTAACTGATACAATATGGAAGGAAAATGGAGAACTTGTGGACACATTCTATGTTCTAAATAAGTATCTCACCAACTGGATTGATATATACAGTCTGATTTGAATTTTGAAGTTGTTGTAATATAACATAGGAATGCCTTTTTCTTGTGATAAAATAGTTTTTGAAGATTTCAGGTTTTTTCCGACACTATTGTGTTACTATTAACGTAGAAATTCCAGTTCTAATTGAGTGCAAATATGGACAGAAATTATTTTCTGGTCATCAGACTTCTTGATACATTTGTTATCTCCAGCAAAACATCTAGTAACTGCAACTTTGTTTTGTGTTGAATTCGTCTTAAACATCTTCAGAAGTTTATATGCTTTAGATGTTCATTTTAAAAGATTTGTTACATTGTTCCTTGTTTACAAAATTTGCAGCTTTTCTTGAGTCTCTTTTAAAATGTTTGTACCAATTTTAGAAGTCGTTTGTGCCAACTTTTGGTACTGGGGAAATCTCTGGTTAGAGTCACATTCAGAACACCTCATTCACCTCTAAACCTGCTAGACTAATATTTCTTAATTCATCTTTTGCACAAATTAATGCTAAGTAGGATTTTCAGATGAGCTTAAGCTAGTAGGACTGCCAGACTCCATTGGTTTTATCTGAACTGCATCTTGAAGCCAGCATCAAGCTGGGAGTCACTTCAGCCTCCTGCTGCTTTGGAAAGTGGATGGGTTCCTTACAGACCACAGAGTACCACAGATTTCCTAACCACACATGGTGCTTAGGAAATCTGTGGTTTTAATTTTTTTTTTTTTAATTAAACTCTTTACATTTATAAAGAAAATCAAAGCATTGAACTTTTGCTCTTAAGCAGAAAAAGACATGGAAGATATGGATCAAAGGTTCACCTGCAAAGCCCATTAAACATTAATGCATTTATTTCTTTAAAGGTTATTACACTTGTGTAGAAGTAATCTTCACTTTAAGAAGACAAGTTGGATTTTACATGATGGGTGTTTATGCTCCTACACTGCTAATTGTTGTTCTATCCTGGCTGTCATTTTGGATCAATCCTGATGCAAGTGCTGCAAGAGTCCCGCTGGGTAACCTGCGTTTTCACGTACTGTCGTGATCCACTGTAACACCATTGAGCCATTCTCAGTTGCTTTGGCTACATGACACTGGACCCTGAAAGCAACTTCACTTCCATTATCCACTTATCATTTTCACTGAAATCTGCTCATTCCAAGTCCTGTAAACTCCATCTTGGCATTAGGAGTTCACTTGATTGTAGTTCCAGCATTTGGGTGACAAGCACACTCTCTCCACTCCTCTCAGCCTGGACAAATCTGATCAGTCTATGCACGGGTGATGCTGCAAACACAGGCAATATGCATTTTACAGGAATTTTCAACATTTGAAAAATGAGCAAGAAAGCAGGATGATAAGTAAGGCTCTTAACAGCTACCTATTGGAGAAGTCTTTCTGAAGATTAATAGGAACGATATTTGGAAAAGAGCTAGCATTCCTGTTACCTGACTGGCTTTATTTCATGAAAGACTCACTTCGTGAGAGTACTTCAAGCTCATGCAGTCATGCTGCTCAGCTCAACACAGTAGGCAGTTCCTTCATTTATTATGAAATAGCAAGACACAGACTTAATAGTAACAATATTATCTTGACTAATTGCATTGTACGCTGGATTACAGCTCTGGCATGGCCAAACCTGCTGACCCCGAGCTCAATGACGTGCAGAGCCAGGCTCTTGCATCCTGACACTTCTCCTGTTTGGATTCCATTTCCCATGTTTGGCCTCCCAAGGCTCCCATTTTCCCTGGCACTCCCTCCTCTCCAAGTCCATACTTTCCAAATCTTTGCCATCTCCCAGGAGGTTTAGTGCACCTGTTTCCAATACCCCAGTGGTGCAGTTGCAGTATCCCTCCAGCTGCCAGCCTTGGTCACAAACCTCTTACCCACACTGGAACTGCTACACCCCCACAGGATATGACTCCTGTGCAGCCTTTTTAATGGTTTTTTTTTCCTTTTCTTTTCTTTTTTTTCTTTTAACCTTTGAAAATAGTTACTTAGGAAGAAGTCTCAATTCTGTATTAGCTTCATAGCAAGTAACAAATATAATCTTTTACCTTGAAAATTTGCAAGGTTGCCTTATATAATAAAGAAAACTTTAGGAGAACATTTGAAGACAAAAATGGTGGGGAAAATGTAACATGCATTAAATTAAAAAGTATGAAAGAGGAACTGGAAAACTAGAATCAAAACCAAGCTGTACTGCCAATTTTATAATCCCATGCTTCAAATAGTGAACCAGATGGACTTATTAAAGATATATTAGATTTATAGGAGTCTTAGCATAGATTTAAGTAATGCGTATGTCTTTGTAACTAAATATGCATGCTTATTTATTGTTTATTTATTTCATTCATTGTAAGTGTTTATTGGCTTCTTTCATGCATTAGCATTTATGAGATAATGAATTTCAAAGACATTAGCCATTGCTCTGACTATGTGACTTTTCCTTAATCCCCAGAAAAGCAAAAAAACCTGTAAATCTGACACTCCCTTAGTTGAGTCAGTATTTAGTATGACAGTTACTAACACTGTCACTGGGGTAAGATTTATCTTTCTCCAGTTTCAGGAGAGCAACAAGCTAATTCTTCTAATGACATCCTTGAGATCCTTGACCTTGAAATATAACAAGATCAACATTTGTGTGTAAAGTAAATGATATCTAGCCTCAAGAAAGTGTACCAGTGGCTAGTTACAGATCTTATTAGATGAGAAGCTACTTCAAATCTTTCAGTTTATTTACTCATGCTCCTCACTCACATTTGAGCCTTAAGCTTTGGATTGTGATAGGTAGGCACCTAGTGCAGCTGCCAGAAGTGCAGCTTACACTCTGGTACTAGGGTCTCTGAGGCCATGCCAACATCCATCAGGCAGCAAATGGTTGATGAATAGAATATTTCTGTGCTTCTGTCTCACTTTATTCTTACCTTGAAAAGGTAGAAGTCTTTTAGACTCTGAAAGTGAACCTTTCATTGTAGGAATCCACTCAAAAGAAAATTAGCTACTGGTCGCTGTGGCCTCAGTTGCTCTACTGAGCATGTTAATAAAAGCTCCACAAAAATCTTTTCAGCTAGAATGTATAAATTAGTTCTGTAGAGTTCAATCCATTGTAAGGTACAGTTTTTTAAGGTCTAAAAAGTGGGTTTACAAATGTTTTTGGCACCAGTCATGATATTATCACATATTAAGATAATAAAAACTTTAAAGTCAGTAGGAAGAAAATACTATATCCAAGACATTGAGCCAGTCTGTGTTATTGGCTAATTTGGTTATTCAGGAGAAGGATAGAGGCTGCCTTTCAGCAGTCAAGCATGGAACTTGGTACAGTACACTGTTAGAGAATGAACAGAGTGCCTGGGACACAGGCAAATTTGTCCCAGTTATATTAAGAGGCAGTATGTTTGTTTTATTGTACTTGCTAATGCAATTCATTGTGATCCATAATTAGTGTTCATCTCCAGTCTGCAGGTGTTGGTAAGTGAATTTTTTTTTTTTTTAAAGCAAAGCATCCTATGCTCACTTTTTATCCTTATAGGAATGTTTGTATATGAATGCTTCAGTTACAGTAGATGGAAAGTAAGCCAGAGGATTACACTGAGGATTCAGTTCAGTATTTGCTGTATCATTCTGTTCTGAGATAACACATCTGATCATTCTTTATTATCCCCATAGACAAAAAAAAAAAAAAAAAAAAAAAAAACCAAATTTACAGAAAAAAAATAAAAAAAAAAATTTAAAAAAAAAAAAAAAAGTCCAGCTTTGCAGTGATACATTGATACTACACATTTCTAAATAAAAAAAACATTTCAATTTTCTTTTTTTTCCCCAAAAAAAAAAAAAAAAAAAAAAAAAAAAGTCCAGCTTTGCAGTGATACATTGATACTACACATTTCTAAATAAAGCATCATAAAATTTTGTGGGTTAAAATCGCATGACTGTTAACATTCCTTTATGCTTCAGTGTTCTAAGAGCTATTGAATTGTCAATTTGAGATTAATGCTAAATAAAATATCATATCAATCTTATTGGAATCCAAATGGGAACAGTAGCTAAAGAATATGTTGTTTGTGATCAAGTAGAAATTAATATTTTTATAGGCCAATACAGATAGTTTTATTTTAATTTACATTTTCACATCCTCAATTACTTAAAACATATCTGAAGGAAATCATCTCTCTGTGAATGAAAAATTTTTCATGCACTATAAGAAACGTAGTTGAGACTCCTTTTGGCCAACATTTTTTATAGACATCAATTCTATTTCATTAAGCCTCCCACTCATAAATAATCATTTATCATTAGCATTCACAAAACCAAAATGGGACATTCTGAACTTGGAGACTGAACTAAGTTTTCCCTACATGACAGCCATTTCTAAAGTTAGCTTTTTCCAAATGTAGCTGTTCGTGCTACTATTTTCACAGGAGCCTGTGAGAAATCTTTTTTTGGCGTCAAGCTTGTATTTGTCCCTTGTGATATGAATCCTGTGTTGATGGTGACATTTGGAAGCCTTATTAGGGGAAATGCCTGGTGAAATCCGTGATGAGTATGACCTTTTAACAGCCTTTGCACATGTGGGCTTTTTTCATTATAAGGGCTTCATGAAATGCCCTTTATCTAGAAAGCTTCCTGTAGATCCTGGAAGCTCAAATAGGGAATGACTGTGACCCTCAGTCACCTCCACGTTTTCATCTTCTCAGTGAATTGGGCACAAAGGTTTTTTGATTTGCTCATACAGCTTTGCTCATCAGCAAAAACTTCCCTTTTACCTAAGGTCTGAATATCACAATTGTGAGCAGCTCATTCAGAGAATTGCTCCTGCTATAGCACAGTTTAGATTTCTGGGACAATGCTATTTTAATTTAAAGGACTTAGAGTCTTTTGATTTAAGCATCATAAATTTCTCTTCCACCTTTCCAGAATTAGATGCACATTGTAAAATAATTCTTTAGAAAAATCAATTTCCCAACTGTGTGATGTGTGATGGGACAGGGAAACCATAACAACCAGTTTAGCCTCACTTATTTGTTTCTCTGTTTATAAAATGAAGGTTATCATTATTAATAATTCATCAATAACTGCACTACCCTACCTAAGTGTTTAACTTGTTCATTAGCTGAAGGCATGTGCACTTTGTACACCTGCTGCACTGACCACATTGTGAAGTCCCATTCACTGTTGCAAAACATCATTCACTATTGTCTGTTTCAGAGGAAGAGCAAAGCCAGTGTCATTAAAGGGAAGTTTTCTTATTCAATATATTGTTTTCTCTTTTTGTAGGTATTTTCTCAGTGCTCAGCTTGGCATCTGAATGTACCACTCTTGCTGCTGAACTTCCCAAAGTGTCTTATGTGAAGGCCTTAGATGTCTGGCTGATTGTTTGCCTTCTCTTTGGGTTTGCATCCCTGGTGGAATACGCTGTGGTTCAGGTAATGCTAAACAATCCAAAGAGAATTGAAGCTGAAAAAGCAAAGATTGCCAAGGCAGAGCAAGTGGAAGGGAAGGGTGGAAATGCTGCCAAGAAGAACACTGTGAATGGCACAGGGACTCCTGTTCACATCAGCACTTTACAGGTAGGAGCTGCAAAGCTTTGTATGCAAAATCAGCATTCTTCTCTATTAACCCAGTTCCAGGAATATAGTGTTTGTAATAATTTTGAATCGTGCTTAATCTTGGAAGGGGTCAAGACAGTAAAAACATGCTGGTAACTAATGGCCAGCCATCTGACCAATTGGTCCCTAGTGATTTGGGGTCAGAAGTTCTAAGTGAAAAAATTGTCTTTTCATACCATAGCAGCGTGGTTGCTGATTAGCTTCAGGTAAATAAAGTAGCAAGCAGCTTTACAGTTGCTGTTTTTCTCATAATAAATAGCAGCTGTTAAACTGTAACTATTCAGAGGACAGAACTCTCAGACAGTATTTGCTGAGAGCATACTCAAATAACACCCAGCTCATTGCTTTGCCTGGGCTGGCCACAGCTGCACTCCATTGCATGCCTGTGAAGCCAGGAACCACAAGTTGAGGCATTTGTAGACAAAAGACCTGTCTGTTTGTGTCAAACAGTTCCTGCATTTCTTTTGTTGCCAGATGGAGTTTATGTGTAAATCAGTCAGATTTCACTATATGGTTAAAAATGACATGTACATCTTCACTTAAGCCGAAGTGTTCCATCATATTGCTAAATTCCTGATATTTTAGAAGTCCCTGTTTGTGCTTCAAGAGTTATCAGACATCCCAGTCGAACTGCCTTCAGTCCTAAGGGATATTTACTTGACATTTATTCTGCAGAAGAAAACATGTTATTCTACAACATATCTATTATGAATTTGGCTTGTCCTTTTCAATGACTCAGCAATTCTGTTGTATAAAATAAAGCTATTAGGCTAGATCCAAGTGGTAATATTGGTACACTGTGACTTCAATGTTTCTTTAAGAAAGGAGTAGTTTATGCAAGAATGCCTGAAATCTTGTCTTAGTATCAAGCTGGGATTGCCCCATAACTAATTGTCCCCAGTCCAGAGGAGCTGCAGGTATTGCAGAACAGTGCACCTAACTATCATGATTCTCATCTGGTAGAAGAATCTTTGGGAAATGCTTTGGTAGGCAACCAGTCTCGGCTTAGAGTAACCCCATGACTGCTTTGACTTGTGTCATGAGTAATTCCCCAAGCCTAGGCAACATCAGAAAGAAAGTGGCTCTGCTGTGGTTTTGCTTTCCCTGAACTGAATGTGATAATTTTGTGTTCAGCAATCTGCAGGTCCCAAATTCTGCTGTTTCTTCTGACAGAATAGTTGCAAAAACCCAGCAGAGCAGCATCTAATATATTTTTCCTATTTCTAGCACTGGTATACAGTGTGTTTTAAGACTTAGAAGGGGAATCATTATCCACAGAAGTTCAGCAATATTCCTCATGAGTGGTGTCTAGCAGTAGGCGGAAGGTTTTTAGAATTCAGAATTCAGTCTGCCCTCCTCTTTAGCATTTCCTCTCCATGATCTTGAGATGCCAGGCTCAGCTTCTCATGTTTGACCTGCACTATTCAGGGTCTTCCCAATCTTCCCAATTTGTTATGAGAGACCTTTAACATTCAAGTAGCTTCTGATGATCTTTATACAGAGATTTACAAAAAAAAAATTATTTTACAAGCCATAGTGGAAATAGGTATTCCTTGCTGTAAAAGTTGGTCATTTGGCTGAGTGGCCCATGGCTAATGATCCAACTTGAATTAATCCACCTGCTTTGAAACACACTCTACCAGAGGAAACGTATCCGGGGCTGGTAATTTCTGTGAAGATGACCAGGTTGAGATAGAAAAAGGTCCCAGACTAGTGAATCATTTGACATCAGGATGCGGTAGGACAGTAATGATAGATTTTATATATTTTAAAGCTATAAATCTGCCTAGATGAAAACTCCCTCTCTGAACCTGCTATTGCGTAGGAGTACTTTGAAAGTTCTTGGCTCTGAAAAAGCTTGTACTAAAGTCCTAAATCAGAACAGGTGTAAATCTTTTGGTAGCTCTGACTTCTAATCCAAAACTAGGCCTGCCTCATAAAATTTGGATTGCTCCCATACAGACCTAGTAATGATCAAGTAGAGAATGCATTTGTCATATGGAAAATATGCAAGGGAGAGAAACATTAAAGAAGCAGGTAATGGAAAAAAACTGTATGTTGAAATGCCTAAAGAATACAAAACAAAAAGAGGCCAGAGAGCTGTCCCAGAACTTCAGGAGCTGTTTCTCATCATGGTCATGTAGGATTGTGTGGGAGGCAAGAGCAAATACTTTGCTAAATATCTGGAAAGACTTAGGTGGCCCAGTGTATAGCTTAAGGAGAAAAGGATGACTTATAACTGCACCCCTGTAATAAGTATATGTCCTATAGAAATGTTTATGTTCTTTTTCCACATAGGAGGTGATATTCAGGCAAAAGTGACTGAGGGTGTAGCTGGAAATGTCAGCATAGCTAGGCTTGAAACCAGATGGGACCAGATGGGACTTGAAGTAAATTCAACAGAAAAGACATGGGAGCAGGCAACTCAAAGTGGGGAAACAGCATGAATAATTCCATTTATAAGTGTTTCTCCTGTTTAAATTTAGGTCTTACATATTATGAAACATTAACTTAATGGTGCTGATACATATCTGTAAGTTGTTCAGAGGGGAATCAAATTTAAAAAGAGAAGTTACTGTATTTCACTTTAAAATGCCCCTGATCCTGATGCTGTGGTAGTTTGTGTTCCCTGAGCAGCAAGTTGTGCCCTTCCTGCTTTTGCGGTGTTGCAGCAGTGATGTCTCTGCAGGAGATCTTGGGAAAGGGCCTGCATGTGAGGTACAGGGGACTTGCTGGGTTGAGAAGATCCTTGGTTATTAGGAGGATCAGAGGGAAGCAAGTGGGGCAATTGAACATCCCTGGTTCCAGTCTTCATGAAACAACTTGTTTTCACGTTCTTGCTCCATTTGTGAAAGTTAAAATGGCATATGGTTTGGAGACTTGGCATATTTTATTTTAGTAAAAAACCACCATAACAAAACCTCATGATAATCCCTAAAAATACAAGCAGCTATTGTTCCAACTTTATGGAGTAAAGGGATAAGCTTTTCAGTATATCATGAATATTAAAAGCTTAATATAATTCATAATTGCAGTCTAGGAGAAGAGATTCCCTATAACAGAACCTGCAAGGGTCCACTGAAAGTTTTCAGCAGAAAGCACTTTTGTCACTGTATCAATAGTCAATGGTCATGATCAATAATTACCACCAGTGACAGTGAATATGGCAGGGTGAAAAGAGTGCTCACAATTTGCCAATCACCCAAAGATGGAGAAAGACTTCTATGGATGTACAGCTACTTCACCAGATCCCGAGAACTGGCTGATGTAAAAGCTGCATGTTGCTAGCATATGCCAACCCCTCAAGTCCAAGCTTTATGAGTCATGCTCCCTCCAACAAAAACCCTTGAAATGTCAGTGCCATTTTAAATCCAGAGGTTTATCAATATGACTGTCTGATTAAAGTCAAGTGGTCTGTCTGTCAAGATCACCCTGAATCTGTAGGGAAAAGGAGAGAAAATAAGCACTTCTGATGTGCTTTTCTAGGAGAAGCAGTGGCTATGCACTTAGAGGCAAAAAACCATGAGAAAATATAGCTTGGCTCCCTCAGCTCATAGCGACTGCAAGTAGATGCTGTTCTAAGCAGAGGAGAAAATTATGCAATCTGGTGATAACTGCTTGCACTGGCTTTTTATTGGGAATCCTCAGCAGGAGTTTGTGTGTGTTTCCTAGCAATGAAACATCATACAGTGAGAAAAACAAGCAAAAAGGGAAATGTTTTGAAGATGAATCTTTTTTTTTTTTTTTTGCTTTCATTGCTGACGTGATTACAGTGAGAGATTGCACTGTTAACTATAACAACACCCCTCAATTTGAAAAGTCACATTTTCATCAAGCCCATTTTTAGAAGCTGTCCCCCACAGATAATGTGCTAATGACTGGAGAGAACATTTGCTAAAAGAATGGTTCTGGCAGATGATGAATAGCACTATGCAAGTGGTGGTAATAGCTCTAATGCCAGTTATTTTTAAAAAGTGCTGCTATTGCTTGCTTTATCTTGTCAGAGCCACGTCTAGTCTCTGAAACCAGAGATGGGTTATGTTCATCTCTACTGAGTTATAATGTACTTGAACACTGGTGGTGACCTGTGGTGACTTAGTCTTCTCAGGCTTTTTCCCCTCACATGGAACTACAGACTCATTTTTTTTTTTATTGTAGAACCACCAAAAATCCAGCTTACATTTTACCTTGTACACAAAACCACAGGCTGCAGCCTATTTTAATAGTTCCTGACAGCATTTCAGGTACAGAGTAGGTACTTTCTGCTCCAGTGACTCCCATATTCATCCTTGGAAATAATTCAAACATGACTGTAAAAAGGCCCTGAGCAGTCTGCTTTGAGCAGAGGGTTGGACTAGATGATCTCCAGAGGTCCCTGCCAACCTGAGCTGTGCCGTAATACTGTGATATTTTATGCATTAATATTTTTTGTCCTGTACTTTGCAAGGAATATTTGGAATGTGGTAGCATATTCCTGCTGAGCTGAACCAGAAAATAGACCCAATGTGAATACAGACTAATGCTAAACAATCACTACTTTATTGATGATCTACATCTATCATTATGGCAAGAACAAGAGAAGAGCACAAAACAAGTCCAAGAGAGATTAATAACAGAGCTTGCTAAAAAACTCCTTCATCTTGTGTGGAAGCCCCTTCCAGAGCTGGCAGCACTGGGGACAGATCTGCATGCCAACAGGAGGCTGGGAGCACAGCAGCAGAGGTGGTTTTGTGGCAAGGAGGATGTGCTCTGTTGGACAGGGAACACAGCATTCCAGTGGGGAAGCTCTTCAGCCTGAGGGACACGTGCTGGGCTTGAAAAGATGCCAGTGCTGTAGCATGTTTGAAGCCTTGCTAGGAGTTATGGACAACACGTTTCTGCTGTCAAAAATGATGGCTTTTATACTACCCTTCATCCTGATGGATAAAGAGGACTTGATCACAGGATGAACAGTCAATTGA